AGTTAAACCAGTGGGTGTTGTGGGATGATTGATGTGTTTATTGAGGATGGTTTGTTGGCGTTGATGGTATGAATGTGTTTTGTGGAGTTCAACCAGTTGGTTGAAGGTGGTGGATGGTGTGTGGCTGAAAAGGTAGGCTGTTAAGAGAAAATCCTTAACTGTGTCTCAAGTCTTCTAAAACAGTCTATTTACTTCGCGCTGTTTTTCTCTAAAGCGCAAGTAAGTTGCAAAACAAATGAGATTTATGACCAAATGAGAAAATGACAAATAGTTCTGCAAATTTTTTTAATCTGGTGATAGGTGAGTTAAAAAGTTTTTATGTTTGAAATTACGCTTTATTATGTATAGTATGTATCAGTTTATTTGCATATCCACTTATTTTCGAATTTAAATATGTGATCAATTTTTTCAGGTGGGGCATCGGCATCTCTTCCGAAAAGAGATCAAATTCCTTCTACTTCAGCTGGTAAGCTTACGTAAAACTATTATTAAGCAAAAACGGCTAGAATAGTAACCAAAGTATAAAATTATGCTGTTCCTCATATATTCTGTGTACTGAATTATGTACGATTCTTTTTTTTCTTTTGTATAGTGTACATCAATTCAGCTCCAGAAGGTGCCAGAGTGTACGGCAAAAAACACTCCTGCTTTTTTTGCAATAAGGAGTATGCAAAGATTGCGCGGAATCTGCAGCAAGTGCATGGCGATGAGAAGGAAGTTCAAGATGCTCTGCAATACTCTGCCAACCATGAAAAAAGAAAAAAACAATTTAAAAAACTTTGTCGCATGGGGAATTTCAACCATAATATGCGAGTCGTGGAAATTAAAAAGGGTGAGCTGAAAGTGGTAAGAAGGCCAACGGACGAGGCCTCCAGTAACCCGGCCAATTATTTACCCTGTAAATTTTGCCATGGTTTTTTTTCTTTGCAACGAGCTTTGGAGACACGCTCCAAAATGCCAGTCGAGGAGGGAAAAGTCATCAAGAGCAATGAAACACGAAGGTCGTGTCCTGCTCGATGCAGGAAAGTCTCCCTGCGGCTGCAGCAAAATGCTGTCAGACAAAGTTCTTTCCATCATGTCGTACGACGCTGTGAGCATCGCTGTACGAAGCGATCGAACAATTTTAACTGTGGGCACCAATATGATCGACAAAAGAGGAGCAGAAAAGGCAGCAGAAGTCTCCCAAAAAATGAGACTCCTTGGTAAAGCCCTTATAGAAGGAAAAAGATTGACCGGTAACGCTGAGGCCACATTAGAAGAGTTGTTGACGCCGTGTCATTTTGATACCTTGGTAGAGTGTGCCATGCAGAAGAAGTCCCCTGTAGGTGGCGAGGCTGCTCAAATGAAGCTGACCACATTCAAGAAACGGCCGAACTGGAAGAAAGTGCATAACAAGGAAATCTTGGAGTCTCTTTCAAGTAGCGAACAGGAGCTGTGTAAACGGTTAACATATACAATAATGTATGATTATTCACTCCACAGATGTGGTATAGGTAGGTTAAGCCTGCCTGACATCACGCATGGCAATAGCACAGTTAATAGCCCTCGTCTAAGGTTGATTTTTCCTGATAAAAATGCGTGCTTTGATAATGTTGTTGAATAATTCGGTAAATATTTATAGTTTTTTCTAAATTATTCTGTTTCTCGGTACATAGCCTTTACTTAAAATGGGCCAGAGGCTCTTCTTTCAGACAAACGTACCATTCGATTCGAACGCAACTGGCGTACTGAATCCGTACGGTGCCCGTCTCTAAATCTATAAACGTCTTGACTAACATAAAAGGCAATTCGATAGCTTACTAACTTTTCTGCTTCAATAAACTTTTGCAATTTAATGAGAATTTAGTTTTAATTCCTAACACTGGACGTAAGAGTGAAGCAAAGTCTCATTTCTGACAAAATACTGACTTCGACAAAAAAGTTAGTAAGCTATATCGAATTGTTATTGATCACAAAATGATTTCATTAGCATTTAAACATGTAGAAACTCACAAAAGACCATCTTTTTGTGGTCTTAGATTTGATATGGTAGAAATTATAGGCAAGAGAAAGAGAAAAGTGCCCGTGATTATTACCGAGGACGTGAAAAAAGGAGTTACGGCACTCAATAAGACAAAAGAAGAAGGCAGTGTGAGCAAAGACAACGAGATTGTTTTTGCTGTCAACAATGGGAAGTCCCATAAATAATTGAGAGGCCACGACGTTATTACACGTGTATGTGGTGAAATAAAGCTTAAAGAGCCTCGCCTTATTACTTCGACAAACTTAAGGAAATACGTCGCGACCATCAGCCAACTCGTCGATATGAACGAAACAGAAATGGGCTGGCTAGCACGACATCTTGGTCACGACATCCATGTCCACAAAGATTACTATTGACTCCCAGATACGACATTCGAGATGGCCGTCGCTGGTAACCTACTGATGACTGTTGACGAAGGCAGAGCGCACCCACCCAAAGGAAAGAATCCTCGTGATATTCAGTTATCGGGTAAGAAAAAATAGTTTATAATCTATTATAGCTTGAAAAACAGTATAGGTTGCAAGACCATGTCAACAAATTTTGGGAAGGACTCGAGATACTGAAAATAATGAAATACAGGTAGACCAACGAATTTACAATTTTCATAAGCGTAGACTGAAACAGAATAAACTCAAAGAAGCAAACGACGTATTTGACAACACGGGCGTCCTGCTAAAAAGAAGCGGCGCCGTGTTTCGTCACAAACGTTAAAATTTACTTCTGGATAACGTTTGTGTTAATGGTACCTTATTCATGGCCACCAGAGGTTATAGCAAAACTCCTGCCTCGTACCCAGGCGCTTTATTGGAAAACATAAAGGCTGCATTCAGCGTAATATAGAGATCTGTGGCTAAAATGTGCGAGCGCGCGGGGGTGCTTGGGGAGGACGCGACAAATGAAGCGCCTGGCAGAATATGCAACAAATAAGGCGGACGACTAATTCATATTCATAGATGCAAATGAGCAAATTGCCGTACGCCCTATCACCGGGCGGTACATTTGGGAAAGATTTTGTGCAAAAATTGTCACTGCGTTGTATTATTCATCATTTTCGAACATTAAGGCACAAACAGTTATTTACGAGCGCTGAAAGAAGAGAATCTACTCGAATATGCAATGATTTACATCAGATTTAGGTTGCACATTTCTTCCATCTGTTTGACTTCTTTATTAATTTGTTTTTCTTGGGAATCTGTTATTTTAACACCTCCAGAAACACTAAGAATTTTGACTTTGACCTGGTACGTTTTTATCATGCTGAGTTTAATTTGAAAAAATGTTGCAATTTCACATTATGGTCTTTTGCAAAGCTCATTAGCCAGTTCAATGTTTCCATCATCTAATGCAGTAATAGCAACAGTTGATTCTGTTCATCTAAGCCATTTTCCATTACATTAAGTTCATTCTGCATTACAGAAATATTATCATTCTGCATTACAGAAATATTATGGTTTACTACCATGTGGTTTTATTAACAAATTAGTGTAAATAACTGCATTAAATGTTAAGAAAAATTAACTATTGAAACCTATGTAGAGAGTAATTCATTAATATTCCTTTACAACACCAACACTCTTTGGTATACTGTACTGTACATGAAATTCAACTGGTGTACTACAAAGCAAATAATAGACTTAATTCATCCCTACAGCAATATACTTATATACATCACACAATGTAGATGCAGGTTGTGTACAGTATTCCAAGAAATTACTATAATACATGTATAAATTATATTGTTCCATAGTCCTATTTACCACATTATACTCTCAAAAGAAGATACATATTTTCACATCCAACAACTATTTTCTTTTTTGTAGAATGTGGGAAAATTTCTTTAATTTCCAAGTCAAAGTATTATTTTTATTATCAAAATGCCATGTAAACTCATTAATAATAAATAATGTCTGTTTTTCATGGACATTGGAGTCTTCACAATAGTCATTAGTCCAACAACCTTTCTAATTCTGAGCATAAATTTGGTGATTTATATCTTCCACTACCTATGAAAAGCACAAATATGTATAATTTATGAATAACAGTCCCAATTTCTGACAATTGAGTCTTGATATATAATATGTACTTATGTTTATTGTTAAATTCACACAAACTCCAAGCATTGGGGTTAAAGCATGTTTCCCTGCTGAAATGATTCTTTTCCTTCCTCTTTCTGTGGGGTGCTGGTAACAATCTGACCTGGAGTTTGTTATTGTATATCACTAGTAACACGCATATAAATTGCAACTAGCATATTTGATATAGAATGAAAATAAAAATGTATTATTGTTTAATTAATATCAATAGTGGAAATATTTAAATCTCAAGGCAACTAAGCACTCGACTCTAACACTCAATTTTTGATTCTTCGATACCAAACGTATACCATTCCTCCTCCGAGCTTGACGATACTTTTGTAAGGAAATTAAGACGAATCTAAATAGTGTTAAATACTGCGCGACTGCATAGTAACACAGAGGAGTATACTCATACACTGTTTACGAAACGAGATTTGTCAAAATAGTCGTAAAATAAAAAAATTCAGTATAAAGCTACCTTCAAATGACAGTTTTTGAAACGATCGTTCCAAATCATCCATAATTTTGATCGCAGGTTCAATTCTTCTTCAAAATATATCTACATATTGTAGCCTTCACGCATTTCTCACTTTTTGCAAAAAAGGAGACGGAAATCTGCATATTCTGCCAGGCGCTTCGTTCTCCCGTCGCGTCCTCCCCAAGCACCCCTGCGCGCTCGCACATTTTAGCCACAGATCTCTATATTACGCTGAATGCAGCCTTTATGTTTTCCAATAAAGCGCCTGGGTACGAGGCTGGCAAAACTCCTAAGTCTTTCTTTAAACCATGTAACGTGCATAAATATATAGCTAGGTTGTTTGTTGCTGATTTTTATTTTATTTCTTTTATTTCCATTACATCATGTTTTTTAATTTTATTTTTCCCAATAGATTTTCACCAACTAAACACCTCACAAATTTTCGTGAAGAACAATGGTAGGTGCATTGCAATATCAATAATTTTCAGTCTTTATTTAACACAAGTGTCGCTAAAGTCAATCGCTAAACATAGTTACATAGACTGTTAGACATTAAAGTTAAAGAAAAATTGTGCATTAAAAATGTGATGGTCTCAATGTATACAAGTCTGTGTACACCTTGATGATCTACTTTGTTTTTACGGGATAATTTTTAGCAAGTTGTTCATCATCGAATGCGGCAACAACGACAACGCAAACATATGCATCTCAAAGTAAGTTAATGAAATAAATTCAAAGTCTCTAGGACTTCGCGTTAATGCAAATTAATTATGTGTGCGGATTTCTCTTTTATTCTGAGGCTCTCTGGATACCTCAAAGCATGCATGCATGGCTAAATCATATGTTGCACTTTCATTTAGGCACACGAAAGCGTAAACGGACTGAGAGAAAACCGTGGGAAACAGAAGAGAAAAATGCGGTGTTTGAGGTGTTTTCCAAACATATACGGGAAAAAACACACTTCAGAAGAAGGACGAATGTGTTCAGTTCTTAGAGAGGAACAAAGACACTATCAAGGAGCGTGAGTGAACGCATGTCAAAGACTTTGTTCGTATGTGCTGGCTAAGAGGCGAAAAAAAGTTGTCTTCGCGCTGAGATCTTTATTTGATGTGGAGAGTTATAGCCTTTCTCACGATGACGAATATCCGCCATTTTGGGGTACTTTCAATTTTCGTAAACAGGTTTAAAAAATTATAGCAATATGAAAAGCGTTTTTTTGAAACAACAGACCATTTGAAGAATAAATTCAGCGATTTAAAAAAAAAGTACCCCAAAAAGGGCGGCATATTAACCATCGCGAGAAAGACTAATTTCATAGTAAAACAAATATACCACCAAAACTCTCAACATAACATGCTCAGAAATGTGCATCGTAACTAACAATATCAATATATTAATGTTATGGACAGAAGAACCTTAATTTCAACATCTAAATGTGTATATCATATCGATATCTAAACCGCTTCTAAACTTTTTACAGAATAAAAACTATTAAAAATTTTTAAATTTTGTATACTTGAATACAACGCAAAGAGTTTAAATAAATTAAAAAGGCTATGCCCAAAAAAGCGATGATAACAGATGTGGAGAGCAAAATAAAAATTACACTGAGGTTTTTTTCACCTAAATATTTAATAAAAAAAAATTAAAAAGGGAAAAGTTAATAAAATTACAAGTGCTCCAACCACATATAAGACAGATAAAAACAGAAGCTTCCTTCACTCCTCGTTTGCTAGAGTGTAAAAATGCGACTGTTTGAAACGAAAATACACAATGTCAAAATACTTGTTCTTTAACTGAAGTAAATACAAGGCGATAATGGTTTCGAAAACGTAACGGTAATTTTTTTGCGTTTGCGAATCTTTTACTCGAGTTAATGCAATGCTTTGATGTAATACTACTCTTTGATGGCACGCACCCCCGCCAGAAATTCCATTAATGCCTGGCTTCAGTCCTATACGTAAATACGTAAGATTGAGCGTATATCACAGAGCCCCCTTTGGTAAAATTTTGGAAATACACCCTGGGCGGTAACATCGGGATATAAAAACGATATCGCCCTTGGGGCGGTTGTTTCAAACAGTATATTTGTATTGTAAACAGTATCTTTGTATCACGGTAAAAAACATTTAGTTCAGTGCTTCTTGAATGAAACGATAGACTTGCTTCTTATTTTGAACTTATCCATCTTTAAGCTAAACGGGCTTGATACAACCGGCCCCTGATATCGTTTTTTTCCCGCTGTAGAAATTCAAGATGGCGGCCACGCGGGAGTGTTGCCCAGTGAACTCAAATAAGACTGGAACGCTCACTCTCTGTCTTTCCCTCATTAATGAGTCAAGCAAAGATGGCGGATCATGAAGCCTCTCCTGTAGGTACGATCCAGGCCTCTGAAATCCGAATTCCCGCCATTTCACCTACGGAATTTCCGCATGGAGGCCTGGATCATGCTTAAGGCTGTTTTCCACTTACGCGTTTTTCACGTACACGCACGTAAAAGTCTAAATCCTTGTACACGCTACCTTTGAAAAAACTAAGTGAATAAATCGAAGGAACTTAGTTTTCTGCATATTTTAGTATGCATTAGTTGACCTAGATGTTAAATAATAAAAATTTAAAAGCATTTAAAATTTTCCGTACGTGTACGTGCGTATAAAAAACGCGTAAGTGGAAAGCAGCCTTTACAAGGAAGGCTTCATGTTCCGCCATCTTGGCTTCAAACTTCCGACAGAGTGAGCGTTCCAGTCTTATTTGAGTTCACTGGGTGCCACTAGCATAGTTTGACTAAATTTTGTCAAAATCTCGATAAACATTTGCTTTTTTCGAGTCTTTAAAATTAACATTTTAAGTTAAAACTTCGGGAAATGAAGTCGAATTACCGGCGTTTAAATCAATGTAATTTTTATATTATTTTTATTTCTAATTAGCAAGATATTCAGGCCGTAGAAAACGTTGTAGTATATTTTAGTAAGAAAACTTGCCAACCTTGTAAAAATATTAGAGCAAGCATAGGCAGCCCAGACATGTTTTCGTAGATTCACGTACACGTGCGAGCGCCACGAGAACGAAAACATGTCTGGGCTGCCTATGATTTGTTCCAAAATTTCGTTCTCGAAAGCCCAACGACTACGAGTTTTGGCCATGTCACAGATTAATACCCAGATGACTAAAGGCATTCCCCCCCCGAAATTTCAAAATGAAGCCGAACTATTTTATACCTGGAAAAAACCTCCTCTCATTTGCTAGAGAAAGGAACTGTGTAGTTAAATTTGTGTCTGAATCCATCATCATCTATACGCGCCTTGGAAAAGTGAGATAAGAGTACCTCGTTTTAAATATTGTACGAGTGTTTTATCTTTTTTCGATTGTCGTAGGAGAGGAAAATTATAAGCAGTCGAAATCTCCATAATTTCAAACATCTTTCTTAGATTTTATTTCGGGGGGTGAATGCTTCTAGTCACTTATATATATACATATAGACTATGAAATATGTTAATTGCTTGTTTAACTTAACGAGGAACGAAATATATGAAAAAAAACAAATATAATGTTGATTTTAACTAAACTCAGCGAAAACTAATATAATGAGAGGTACGCATAGCGTACATGTGGGTAGCCTCGAAAACATCAGCAGCGATTACAGTAAAGCAAAGCACTGCAATTTATATAGTCTGTTTTATATTATATAGACAATTATCGAGTTAATTTAAATATTACTGAAGATTTTTATTTGTCAGTATATTCGTCAGTAATTTACCTGCAAGTCAGCAAGCAGTCAGCAGTGTTATTTTGTTTGATAGCAGCAGTTGCGGCTGTTAATTATCTTATATTGTACCCGCACAATGGCTGGGTTCAAATTTCAATACCCGCACGATGGCTGGGTTCAAATTTCAATACCCGCACAGTGGCTGGGTTCAATTTCAATACCTGCACAATGGCTAGGTTCACTTTTAATTGGTACGTGGCATTTCATGTAAATAGTACCCTGGTCTATGATGACGACCAGTGGGAGCAACAATGGCTTCGGTTTTTTTTGAGTTTTTCGATACGTGCACTCTGACATGTGGAGCGCCTGACAAGATGATGTCAGTGCAGGCAAGATTGCCCCGTATACAATGAAATGTACGATTGTAAAATCTGATTGTAGTCGAAATTGCTCAACCACAGTAGATAAATAAGCGATTAGAATAACAAAAACCCACAAAAAGCAATACAGCTTAACTTAACTTTGCTAAAAATCTGAAACAACGCAGTCTGGGCCTCCACGAAATCACAGTGGAAACTTGAAATCTTTAATCTTGGCAAAATAACAACTTACGATATTTTCCGATCTATTTACGATATTTTCCGGAAGTCATAACGAACGATATTATTGTCACCTGTTCGTTTATCCGACCATCGCCGAAGTTCTGGACATTTATTTATTACCTTGCTAGGACATTTTTCAACTCTCACATAGTGGTTAGCCGCGAATGCGCAGCGGCTACCCACAAAAGCAAGAATTGTGGGAACGACTTCAAATAGTCATGTTTCGTGAGAGGTCTCTTCAACTTCTTCATGTTATTGTTTCATTTACTTGGAAATAATATGTTCATCTGTTATTTTTAAAACTCATGCATTCGTAATCGACGTAATTTGAATATATATGAATGCGACAAATGTCCTATAGCTTATACTGACATTTGTTTTTTTTCCCTTGATCTTAACACTGACTCTTTGAGTGACCTTAAACATTGCTTAAACGAGAACCTTAAAGAACTTTCTACGTTGCAAAAAGTTGTCAATCTCCGTTATTATATATTATAAGGTAATTTCCGTCAAAAATTTGCATATGATTGGGCAGTCACCGTGAGTCAGCGAAAATGGCCAGAAAATGGTCCAAAGTTGAAATGAGAAAATTTCGTGAAAAAGGACATAATTATCACCTGTTCAAACAACATGAAACAGTCCTTGCCTTACTGAGTAAAAGTCCTGGAACTAAAGGCAGAATACAAATTCAATTTTCTTCATCCTATAGATATATATATATATAACCAGGGAGCAGCGTGGCAGCGTCTTCAAACAACTTAGTCTTAGCATCAAATGTGGTATAACAACTGGCAAAATGGGCCAATAGAAAACAAAAAATAAAAAGAATTACGTTGCAAAAGAGACGCCTGATTGTGAGCTAACTATATATGGATGAACTAGTTTAGATATATAGTATATATGAAGTCTATTAGAAATTTTGTCTTTGGAAAAAAGCAAATAGGCATATGTTTCACGGATCGAATATTAAGTAATTTAATAACAATTTCTGTTTTCAAACAGCTTGTTTCAAAAGGGTTTCGAGTGCAGATGAAGAAAGCCGTCAAATAAAACACACGTTTTAAATTAACTTTGTTCCTATCAACAAGCATTCAGTTGTTAGCGACCTCTGAAAAGTGCAACATGGTTCGCAATCGTGGCTTCGGTTTTCGACTTTTGTATCGAGTCGTTTTCTTTTTCTTGTGTTTATCGTTTGTCTGTTTTTATCGTGGCGCTAGTGATGGGTTAGGATTGAAAACGCGAAAGATAGAACAGAGATCGAGGAAATTGAATGAGGAATTAAAAAACAGACCCTCAAAACGCAAAATCAGTCAAAGCGAACGAGACAGCCAGATCTTTGGTTTGACAGAAAACTTTGAACGAGTTAAAATCTACAAGGCGGTGAAAAAACCTGATCTTGTGAAGATGGGAAGAAGAGGTAAAATCCAAAAAAATTGATATTCTTCGCAGTTTATAAAAGGAAAATTCTCTGCAGTGGCGTATTTAGTTCAGTCTTCCAAGGTTTCAAACTTTTAAAAATTCGCCTTTGCATGTTGAAAATAAATTCTAACAGCTAGATCATATAATTATTTACATTTTAAAAGGCCTTTCAAATCAATCCCCAGGTTCCTTGAAATTCTGAAATACCCTTTGCATGGAAATTATTATTCATCGTTATATTTCGAAACATGCTGCAGCAATCTATTTTGACTGGTTGCATATGCACTGTCGTGTTATTTGTACGTATATTTATATAGCTATTACAAAACCAATAAATAAATGCATATAAGGTTGGGTTCTGTTGATAATTTCACAATTTGGTTCATATGTTCTTTTTCTGGTG